AATATCAAAATCACACATCTAATTATTTAACAATTACATAAACATTACATCATTAATTATTTAATTAACCAAAAAAATTACATCTTTATTAATAACAAATTAATTATTAAACAAAACTATTAAATATAAATTAGGCAAACGTGTATTGCATGTTGCTTACACCTAGTATTATACAGTATACGAAATATGCACTGTAACTTGTTTGGTTTCCATACACAATCAATTCAATCTACTAAATTTAGTTTCACAAACCAAGAACTTCGAGATCACCACATTTTAAGCAAGGGAACTTGGTTGGTGGCCTAACATAAAACTTGTAGTGCTAAATAGCTATTAGCCTATAACTAATCTAATAAAGTAGAATATCCCAAATGGAATTAGTTATATAGAGGAAAACTAAGATAAAACATGAATCATAAGTTAGGTATCTAAAGAGTCAACAAATTTTGTCATGGTGCATTTATCTTTCAAAGCATATTTGGAAGGTGTTTATAAACAATTTTAATTATTAACAGATAAAAATAAATAGTGAATAAGTAAATAATATTTGTGAATTTCTCCAAATGTATGAATAAAAGTTCATTCAATATATATAAACACGAGCCCAAATAGAGACTTGATCCTATGAAATATTGTCTAGTCCAACGTATCAAAGTATTGAAAAAAAAAATATCAATTTTGTTATAGAACTGCGTTCAGAAGCCTATACAAAACAAGTAATCATAGTAGTATAATTGAAAATTAACAATTCCAGAGACAATCAAGGTCCACATTTCCGGCTGAAATAATTGGAAATTCTTGATCCTCATAAGATTCCAATCCTACTTCATAGGTGGAGCAATCTTGTATATTTTGGATAAAGGGCATCATTTGGGCGAAAACGACTGAATTTGGAGTGGAAACTTCTGCGGATCTCGTAGCAAGGGGTGTATCAGACTTTTTACAAGAAGATGAAGGTAATGGAGGCAAATCAGACTGCAGTGAATTGGCAACATAATTTCTGTTCCTGATTTGCCCTGGTACATTTTCTTTTTTCCCTTCTGAACTCTTCTTGAAAATCCTGGAAATAACCCATTCATTCTGCAAAACAAGAAGGGAAACTAAATGAAAAACTTCATGGTAAGAAGCAAAATGAAGTTCAAATCTTATTTTTGAACTATTCAATTCTGTTCGGTCAAGTTCAGTATTATTTAATATTGTGTACGGAACATGTACTAAGATTTGTTTGTTCAGATGAATTGTATAGTACTAGATAATCTTAAGAAACAAGGAGTCAAAATTTTGTTTAGTATTCGATCATGTCTAATACTACATATTGCACATATTCTATGATCTGTTTAGTAAGAATATATGTACCGTACTCAACCATAATAAGAAACAAAAAGACATTAAAAAACTATTTTATTATGCAGTCTAGTCTATTAGATCTTAAATACCAAACATACCCTAGTTGCTTGTTTGCCGAGATGGACCGTATAATACCATCATATGTTAAGAAACGTAAAATAAATTAAAATCTTGTCTAATGTAGTGTAGAGTCCTATTCAATATTGCATATCACCCGTACCCAAGAAAAAAATAGACAAAAGCAGGGGAAATTGTTTACCTTAGCAGTTTTGGGGAGATTATGCATAGAATATTTGCCCTCTAATCTGTATTCATGCATGACCCAATCAGTTTTTTCCCCTCTAGGAGCCCTTCCTCTGTAAAAAACCAAAGTTTTTCTCATTCCCACAAGAATTTTCGAGCTAAAAATTTCCCTATCTTTCCCTGTTGCCTTCCAATATCCAGCCTCTGTAGCTCTGTTTGTCCTTAAACCTGTAGGGTACTTCATGTCTCTTATGCAGTAGAAATACCACTCCTTTTCACCCATTTTTGCCCTCCCTTCAAAGCTCACAATAAAATAAATAAGAGTAGCACATGACAGGATGTGTTGAAGACAAAATCTAAATAAATGAACATGTTTCCTTTCTAATAGCTTAAGCCTTTAGACGAGGAGGTACAAGTTAGACATAAATCAAGAATTTCAACAAAGTGCTATACAACTTACGTGGCAAATCCCAAGGTTCAACCTTGTTTAAGTCCACTTCTCCAATAGCTCTTGCACTGAAACTGCTGTCAAATACCTTAGGAGATAAATAATGAGTTATAAGCTCTTCATCTGTTGGATGAAATCGAAATCCAGGGGGTAATTCAAACTGCTCATCAACTCTACTAAAACCAGATACTTTTTCCATTCCAATTTAGTCCTTGCCCGATCCCTTTATATCAAGAATGAAGAGGAGAGAAAGGACTGAGAACTGAAGACAGAGAACTTGGAAGAATTTATACAAAGTTTCTGAACAGAAAGATTAAGAGGTTTTGCCGAGGAAAAGGGTCTTCCAAGGAACAAAACTCCACGAAATAGTGCTTTTTAGAGGAGATATAAACGTGGGATGTAAGGTAACTTGGTTGGGCAGTTTCTAGCTTTTGCTCCTTTCTCTTTAACTTTTATGCCATCATACAACTCGTCGAGCCGCAGTCTATCTCAACTAAAAGTTTAAGTTGATAAAGAGAGAATACGTTTATTCACTTAAATTAGTCTTCAACACGTTATTTATTATTAAATGTCCAACACATGCAAAGAACCTCTAATTGCTTCACTATCATGTTGAACTATAGGGCCTCTTTTATGTAAGACTTTTTGAGAATTTATTTTGCGAAAGTGATTTTTTTTGGAAAATATGTGGTTAAAAATAGGAAAATTTTATTTTAAAAAGGGGCATAATATCAAAAATTTAAAACTATTAGACATTTATTTACTTAGTTTTATCCTCGATTTGTCCCCTCACGTATAGATTGTATTCTTTTCTTTTTAAATGTGTGATATTTTCTAATAACCATTTATACATGTATTCACTTAAACTTAGCCTTCAAGAACCCCATCACAAATCTTCTAAAATAAAGATTGAGTGACATGTTTTATGTCAATGTTCGATAGAGATTAAAATCAGATTTTTAGCATATTTTGATAAAAGTTGATGAAATGTGTGGTTAAAAAGTTGTGGATCTCAGAAATATGGGATTAAAATTAATTGTTTACTTCGACTTTGATAAAAAAAAAATCTAAACTTTAATTTCTATCAAACATGGCTATAATTATAAGTTTTCTTAATCAAACAGGGATATTAATTAAATAGATTGGACAAATAAAATGAGGTTGGTTGTGATCTGTTTAACCAAAGTTGTCTACTTTACAAGTACACCATTAATTATAGGGATAATTGCAGCTGCGATCCCAAACCTTTCTTTTTTTTACAAACTTTACCTCATCCTCCACTTTATGTCATCCACAGTCCCAAACCTTTTATATTGTTGCAGCACAAGTACAAATGGACGGATTACATCCGTATAACCGTTAGTTGACCAATTTTTTTTCCTTTTTTTTACTCTTTTGACAAATTTAAAAAGGGCAAATTTGTAACTTTATAATTACTTATCCTTAAAATAATTAAAACTCACAATCTTCCGCCTTTAACCGGAACCCGTAATTCAGCAGCCCATTTGCCCCATTTTCGTTGTCGAACGCCTCTGTATTTTCCTAAATTAGGACGTGTCAACTTTTGATAAAACCCTCTTCCTCCGGTTTCTCTCACCATTGTTGCTATCTTGAACAGAACTCTCTGTTTCAGGGGTTTTAGACAAGCAATAAGAGTCTCTCACCATTATTACAGATGATCCGGAGTTTCCTCATTCGTTTGGTGGGTTCTACTATTTTTCTAGATATTTGGCTTAAAGTTTCTTGATTTACTAGTGGTGGCATATTTTAATCACTCCAAAACCCCTCAAAAAATAGTTAAAGAAATAAAGAGAGGAACAAATGATAAGATTGAGATAGCAAAGGGTTCATTGCAAGAGAGAGAGAAGGGGGATTAGTGAAAATAATCCATTTGACAGAAGATCTTGAAATGAAATTGGTATTTTTTGGTGGGTTTTCTTCTATCTATGGTTTCGTCGGAGGGTGGAGTGAATCTTGATTTTCCGGCAAGTTTGCTGTAACTCATTTCTACACAGATCTGATTCAGTTTCTCACATAGATTTGATCTTTTTTCTTGTCAATAAGCTTCAGCTTTTGTGGTTTTTGGTTTGGTTTTGGGGTGGGGTGGGGTGGGGCGTGGCGGAAGAAAGATAACTTTTTTTTTTTTTATATTGTTTTAATTATTTTAGGTGTAACTAATTATAAAGTTACAAATTTATCCTTTTTAAATTTGTCAAAAAAGTTAAAAAAAATAAAAAAAAATTGGTCAACTAATGGTCATAATGACGGAATCCGTCCATTTGTATTTGTGCTGCAACAATATGAAAGGTTTGAGACTCTGGATGGCACAAAGTGAAGATTGAGGTAAAGTCTACAAAAAAAGAGAAAGGTTTGGGACCACAGCTACAATTATCCCTTAATTATATTGTCTTCAAGTGTAATGGAACTGAAAGGAAAAAAAAAATTATAAAAATAAAAACAGTATAGTGCGAAAATTCCTTTTACAACTCCTTGTCTGTGCCGTTAGGTGATTAATACATATTTTATGATATATATTAGATAAAGATCAATGGAGCTGAAACAAAGTTTTAATGTTATTGAGAATAAAATTAAAAATCTTTGAACATACATTTTAAATAAATATAATTTTCTTTTCGAACATGTAATTTTTTAGATTAAATACTTTTAATACAATAAAAGAGGAAGCAAACATTTGAAACTCAAAGAAACGTTGCTACATACTTAAAAAAATTGTGTACGTTTTAGGATTATAGGATTCTACCTACAAGAAAAGGGATGTTGTCGAGATATTATTTGAATAAATAAATTGAAAAATTATTGGACAGTTTTCCTCATTAACAGTTTAACTTGGAATTAGATGGTTTCTATCATTGAGAATCGGCTCTAGAACTAAAGGAAAATGTTGGGGACCAGCATGCAGTTGGAATTTAATGTAATTATAAGGTGATTCAATGATTTATATGTATGATTTGGAAAATATCTCAAATGGCATAATGATGGATGTGATTATTCAAGTGCAATAGTCACATATCATAGCATTATGGTCATTCAAATATGATGCAGTTAGCGATGTCCAAAAGGCTCGGCGGCCCGAGCTCGGCTCGAAAAAATCCCCAGCCAGGCCGTTTCGTGGCTGGTGGCATCGAGCCGAATTTTGGGACGTTTGCTCGAGCCCGAACTAGCCCGTGACTCGTCACCGGCCCGTATCACAGGCAAGCCGAGTTCCAAAAAAAAAAAATTTTTAAATACAGTTGCCTGCTGTCTTTTTTTTTTTTTTAAGTTTAAATGTATTTTTT